TGGATTGCACTGAAGTTCCTGAGAAAGAGGCAAAACCTCTAAGGAGGTGGTCCATTTTCTCGTTCAAAAACCTGAGTTGGAGCAACACATGATTGAACGATTCCCTCAGGAGGTCGTAAAAGTGCAATAGATCATTCTTCGCATGAGACTCCGCTTCACCCATTCCTATGTCTAAGAGGTAGCTCTCACAGCACTCGTATCTAACCACTCCCACCAGCTCTCACTCAGATTCAACTTCCGACACAATCAGTCACTCCCAAGCGCTCCACAATCCCACACTCTCCTCCCTCTCCCACCATTCACTCAGCCAACTAAAACTAACCTACACGCTCTCTCACTAGACTAAACACACCCGACAATCATCCACTCCTTCCTATGAATCACTTTATCACGAGCTCTAGTCTAAACACACCCAGCTACCTTCCACACCTTCCTATGTAGTCACTTCTTTGTCACAGACAGTCTCATGCGCTCTCCTGGGCCTCTTCCCTAACCCACCCCTGTTTGCATGGATTTGTTTCACCTGAAGCTGCCAACCGGATCCTTGGAGAAATGGAATACTACCACCTGCATCCAAGACCCATGTCCCTCGTGACTGGTGAAGCAAGCCAAAGGGAGTGCGATCTGGATAAGGGAACTAATTAATGCCTCTTTAGATCAAGGCCTGGTCCCCATTGTTTTGGAAGAAGCAGTGGTTAGATCCCTTCTTTTAAAAAACCATCTTGGGAATGCCGTTTCAATCTGATCTGGATCTGGGGGTTGCACTCCCCTGAAATCTCAGGTGCACAATTTGGGAGTCATCCTAGACTCTGCTTCAAACCTGGAAGCGCAGGTGGCAGTGGAGACTAGGTTGTCCTTTCCACAATTAAAGCTTTGTGTCAACTGTGCCAATTCCTGGAAACTCTGGACCTGGCCTCCGTGGTGCATGCGTTGGTTACATCCAGAATAAACTATTGCAGTGCGCTCTAGGTATGCCTGCCCTTGAAAAGTGTCTGGGAATTACAGTTCATCCAGAGAGCAGGGGCCAGGATTCTGACGGGCACCAACTTCAGGGAGCATATCCTGAAGCAGCTCCGTTGGTTGACTGCCTGGCTCTGCGCTCAATTCAAGAATCTGGTCATTGCGCATAAAGTCCTATATGTCTTCGGTCCAGCCTACCTGGAGCACCATGTCCCCCGGACACATCCCAGGGTGCAAACGTAGATCCAGTGGGGAAACTCAAATGGCCACGCGAGCCCCCACCAGTATGCAATGATGCCTAACTAGGGAAGGCTCCTTCTTGGGTGCAGCTCCAGCACTCTGGATCCCTCCCTGAAGAACAAAGAGCTGCTCCGTCTCTTTTCAGCTTTAGGAAGGCAGTCATTATTTGTATTTAACAAGGCTTTTAGCTGAACCATTGGTGGCGTTTGGGAATTTTAATGATTGGGATATTGGGGGGGGGGGGGGCGCATGCGGGGGGAGGAGGCTATGCTTTTACCTAATGTTTTGGATTTTGTCGATTAATGTTTTATCTTTTTACATATTCCTGATTGAAGGATTTTCTTGCCTGATATACTGATTTGCAAGCTGCCTTGGGTCTGTGTTGCAGGGGTAGAAAAATCCTAAATAAATAAATATGTTAGAAAGATTCTCCAGTGTGGATTCTATGGTATCTATTAGGCTTGGTTGATTAAAAAAATGGTTCAAAACTCTTTTTGGATGTAGGGGCACTGGTGGTTCGATTCGGAATCAAATTCTGAATTTTTCTGAAAAAAGTTTGGAATTTTCCAACACTTTCGAAACTTCAGAATAGCGTCGTTAATGGCAGACATGAATGTGCAGTAGGGAAAAAACAGCACTGGCACTGGGGAAACTTCAGGGGCTCTTCCACTCCAGGCCTGCCTTGGCTGTCAATGGGGAGGAGGAGGAAGAGGTGGTGATACACTCGTTGGGACAGCTGTGTCGCCGCCTCCTCCTCCTCTTCCTCCTGTCATGTAATCCAGATTATCAAAGTAGAGGTAAAGGTTTCCCCTTGATATTCAGTCTAGTCATCAGACTCTGCAGAGTGATTTGCAAGCCATCTACATTTGTAGCGCCAAAGAGCTGGCGTTGTCCATAGCCACCTCCAAGATCAAGTCACCAGCATGAGTGTATGGAGCACCATTATCTTCCCACTGGAGCGGTACGTATTGATGTACTCACATTTGCATGTTTTCAAGCTGCTAGGTTGGCAGAAGCTGGGGCTGACAGCTGGAGATCACTCTGCTCACTGGATTCAAACTGTGGACCTTTAGGTCAGCAAGTTCAGCAGCTCAGTGCATCACCGGGGCTTCATATCCAAGTAGATAATCCACATTATTTGCTTTGAACTGGATTATATGAGTATACTGTCATGTAACCCAATTCAAAGCAGATAATCTGGATTTCATATGGCAGTGTAAAATGGGCCAAGGGCAGCGGCAAGTGAGAGGATCTCTGAACACACTGCATAATTAACACACCAGCAGACACCCAGCAGAGGCCAGCAGAGCCCAGGATCTATGAAAATCGCAGTCTGCAAGCCTCTTTCCTTTCATTACACTTCATAGAATCATAGAATCAAAGAGTTGGAAGAGACCTCCTGGGCCTTCATCCAGTCCAACCCCATTCTGCCAAGAAGCAGGAATATTGCATTCAAAGCACCCCTGACAAATGGCCATCCAGCCTCTGCTTAAAAGCTTCCAAAGAAGGAGCCTCCACCACACTCCCTCCGGGGCAGAGAGTTCCACTGCTGAACGGCTCTCACAGTCAGGAAGTTCTTCCTCATGTTCAGATGGCATCTCCTCTCTTGTAGTTTGAAGCCATTGTTCCGCGTCCTAGTCTTATTTTCACTTCGTTCCCAGTACATCTCCAGCTCTATGTTTTGATTTCCAAAAAGCCTCCCACCCGCATCTCCTCCTCCTCCGCATGAAGAGCCGAAGCAGGCCTGTGGAAGAGCCCCTCGGTCAGACTGAAGCTCGGCAGCGGGAGCCAAGCAGTTCCGGAGGGCAGCTACCAGGCTTCAGCCTGACTGAGGGGCTCTTCCACTCCAGGCCTGCCTCAGCTCTTAATGCGGACGAGGGGGAGGTATTAAGTAGTTCTGCCTTTTCCCTACCCCGTCAGCATTGCCCCATCTTCTCCTCGAAGAGGCCCTATCACCTCCTTGTTCTTCCTTTTTCTACTGACATTGGGGATCACAACCAGACACAGTGAAGACATCTGCCCTTGCGCTGTGCTACTCTGATGCTGAGTACGCATGCCCAGTGTGGAACACATCTCACCACACTAAAACAGTGGATGTGGCTCTTAATGAGACATGCCGCATTATCACGGGGTGTCTGCGCCCTACACCACTGGAGAAATTACACTGCTTAGCCGGTATTGCACCACCTGACATCCGCCGGGAAGTTGCAGCCAATAGTGAAAGGACCAAGGTAGAGACATCTCCAGCTCATCCTGTTTGGGTATCAGCCAGCACGTCAACGACTTAAATCTAGAAATAGTTTTCTAAGATCTACAGAGACACTCGCTGGAACACCTCAGCAAGCGAGAGTCCAAAAGTGGCAGGCTCAAACCCAGCACCTCAACCAATGGCTGATACCAAATGAGAGACTCCCTCCTGGGCACACAGAAGACTGGGCGACTTGGAAGGCATTGAACAGACTGCGCTCTGGCACCACGAGATGCAGAGCCAACCTTCAGAAATGGGGCTACAAAGTAGAATCCTCGACATGCGAGTGTGGAGAAGAGCAAACCACTGACCACCTGCTGCAATGCAACCTGAGCCCTGCCACATGCACAATGGAGGACCTTCTTGCAGCAACACCGGAAGCACTCCAAGGGGCCAGATACTGGTCAAAGGACATTTAACCAGCTACCAAACTCACAAGTTGTGTATTTTTCTGTTTGTTTGCTTTGTTCTGTTAGACTGGTTGTTCTGACACGACAAATAAAATACTGACATAAGAAAAGAAGCCTTTTTTTATTGTTTTAATGTCTGCAGCAAGCCTGAGCTCATTTTGTGCTTTAGCCTTGCGGATCTTTTCCCTACAGGTGTTGGCTATTTGTTTGAATTCTTCCTTGGTGATTTCTCCCTTTTCCCACTTCTTGTGCTTATCTCTTTTGAGTCTTAGCACAGTTAGAAGTTCTTTGGACATCCATTCTGGCTTCCTTGTGCTTGGCTAATGAGCAGCAAGGCAGTGTGGGAAATGTAGTTTAACAGCAGGGACTTTTACAATCTCTACCATTGGGGGCCTGCCCTTCACAAACTACAACAATGGCTGTGCTTAACCACACCCACCTCATCCCTCCCTTGCATCACCCAGGGAAGGGAAGCATGAAATTTTAAAACAGACTTTACAAAAGTTGCTTAATGGTTGTGAAAATTAAAATAACCTTGGGAGATATCCAAACATTATGGAATATTTATGAAGAAAAAAGGTAAGTGGTTCAAATTTGGATCCCCCCCCCCCCAAAGTCGGTAGGTTTTTACAAGTTTCAGGTTTTTCCAAACAGAACCTATCCAACCCTAATATCTACGTAGACTGCACTCCATGCATATATATGGTTTCCACCTCAATGTGAGTCCTTTCATGTGAATGCAGAGAGACATTCCGAATTAAGCTTATTCCACACTCCAGACATTTCTATGGTTTCTCCCTAGTGTGAGCCCTTTGATGTGAACGTAGACAGTTACTATTAGTGAAGTCCTGCCCACACTCCAGGCATGTATAGGACTTCTCCCCAGTATCAGTCCTTTGATGTGAACGTAGACTTCTACTCTGAGTGAAGCTCTGTCCACACTCCAGGCATTTATAAGGTTTCTCCCCAGTGTGAGTCCTTTGATGGTAACGTAGGTCTCCACTCTGAGTGAAGCTCTGTCCACATTCCAGGCATTTATAGGGTTTCTCTCCAGTGTGAGTCCTTTGATGTGAACGTAGGCTTCCACTATAACTGAAGCTCTGT